TCGCCCACGTTTCTGCGTTTCAAGGGACGTAACCAGTTGAACGTTTCCTTGTCTTGTTTGCGCAGAAAGTTCCTCTCGAAATGCCTTTTTAAAGGCACGCACTGTGCTTTCTTTTAAGCCTGGAAATTCTTCAATAAAGCGTTCTAGGGTTTTTTTGTTTCCATTTTCACTTGCGAACTTCCCAATTTTTACGCGATCCTCGCCGCTGTATTGAAAATATTTTCCCCTTTTTCTCTAGGGATGTTGATTTGGTTGCGAAATCTCGGCGGGTCTTGAAAGGTTTACAACTGCGGCCGCGGTTTCCCTGTGTTCAACCACTCCTAAATTTGTATCCTCCTGCCTCGGTATATGTGATTCAAGTATTTCTACCTCCACCGAATCTTCAGGCGAAGGTTCTTCTCTACTGAGAGAGAAGCCGAACTGAAACAAAGACATGTAATGGTAGTAGACGAACGCTCATGTGTAATTTCTACAGAAAACACGTGTAGTTGTAGAATACTGTAAATGCACAATGATTTCACGTGGTCGGCAGGGATATGTGATCGTCAGCTGTCAAAAAACCGGAAATACCTTAGATGTTTAAACCTTGAACCCTGCTAGAGTAAGACACTTTGATTTTGGTGATGGCTTCAGTTTCTGGTACTCTCCAATATTCCTTTCCCCGCGGCCTGAGAGGCTTTCACGTTTATAAAGAGATTTGGAAACCTAAGGTTGGAGACGTTCTTTCCTGCATCCATGAAAGAAACAACCAACACGATCGATACGCAATAGCTGCGACAAAATTGCTTCCTGGACGACTATCGAATGTAACACTCGGTCATTTACCACGTGAGATCAGTCGCTTTACAAGATTTCTTATTTCAAGAGGCGCAGATGTCTTCTTGACAGTAAAAGACGCACACTTTCGACGATCGCCACTCATACAAGGAGGCTTGGAGATTCCAGTAGAGGCGGCAGTAAGAATGGAGGCATCTACGAAGAACGTTGAAGCAATTGAAAGGTTCAAACAACTGGTAGAACAGCATTACAAGGAGCCAGTGAATGGACAGTTTGAGGACTGTACAAAAGATGTGCTGCCTGATCATGAAGAGGAGACGGAAAGCAGTAGTGATGAAGAGGACCAGAACATTACTTCAGAATAGTTATTGTTATGAACGTTTATAGTGTAATAAAGTCACTTTTTAAATTGTCGACATATAGTGAGTCACTTAATTTTCGCGTCATGTTATTTTCGCGACATTTCATTTTCGCGTCACTTAATTTTCGCGATTTTTTTCAAATCGCGAAATTCGCGAAATTAACATGTCGCGAAAATTTCATGTAATAAGGTATTTCATTTTAGCTTTCTTTTCGCCGCTGCTGTCATTGTTCTTTAAAAAAAGTGTGACCGTCTGCTGATAAAGAGCACACAATTTGACTCTTCTACACTGTAGACAAATGATACAAGCTAGTTAACTCACAAATGCCGGTTTGAACGGATATCCCTTGTAACTGATTAGTTTTGTTTCAAGTTTGTTTGTTTGTTTGTAATCTATTTTCGATGCATAGTCTGTCCTAATCTAAAATAAACTTGACGCTAAATTATCATCATCATAAGGTGACTTGCTTCAAAATATTTGTTTTGAATGTTTTACCTTGAATTGGCGAATAAACATTATGCCTTACCAATCGTCCAGATCACCGGGTCCCGCATTTCGTTTATAAACTGGAATTAAACTGAATCTAAACATTGGCACCGCGTAATCGAGTCGCCGCAAAAGCCACATCTGTTTGAGCAATCTATGAGTCTTATATATTCAACACGTTTTAATGAAATTTGTTTCTTCCTAAACACAGTTCGATCCAAAGGGGACGTCGACCTCGAGGAGAGAGATGAGTTCTTGGGCTTTTTGACACACAATATGACCCCGCTTGACCGTATTTACAGCTTGTACATACATGTATGTGCCGCGTGGTAGGGTATGATTTTGGCGCTATCATTTTTGCCTCTGATGGCATTGTGTTTCCGGTGTGATCTTTAGATGGGATATATAAATTGTATCAGCTAAAATTGCAGTGCGTAAATGCCCAGCTAAACAAAAAGCAAATTCCGCTAAAATTGTCAACAAAGCGATTTTATCGAGATTTGTGTTTTGTCGCGCGCGGTTAGCCGTTGTTTGGTCGTTGTTTTTCTTTGAATAGGGTGTCATACTTCGTGTTTGGACAATTCTCGTTTGCTTCATCCTTAAAGAGGGTCAGGGTCTAAGACACTTCGAGGCACACACCAATTCAAAATTTACGGGAGTACCCCCTCCCCCGAAACGGGACAGTTCCTGTGACCTTAGTGCAATATTGGTGCAATTTGGTATTTTTTCAATTTTAGACTCAGAAGCACATACAGTAAAAACCCGCTTATAGGAAAGTAATTTTTTCCAAGCAAGGCTAAGAAGGTTATTATAAAAGATGGTGCTTAACTGGAAAATTTGGCTACTCAGGTTCTTTTTTTCAAATAGACTGCGAGCAGTCTCTTTTGCTGTGAAATCCGACTGGAACGAACGGGGAAAAAGCGGATGTGATTGACGAGCGGTGAGCGGCGAAGCCGCGATCTGCCAGCAGCGGGGCGCCAGTCGCAGCAAAAAGAGATCGCGGCTTGGCCGCTCACCGCTCGTCGATCGCGCCCGCTTTTTTTCGCGTTCGTGGCAGTCGGATTTCACAGCAAAAGAGAGACTGCTCGCAGTCTAGTTTTCAAAATAAATGACTTGTTTGTCATTGGGGGGCGTGGCCTATTTTTTTGTATTGTATGCATAATATGTTAAAAATCCAAGCATATATTTACCAAGTTAACAAAGCCATCCAAGATAAACAGAATAAAACGCAACATTAAAACATGGAATTGTGTTGTTGCTTTGACTGAATTTCTCACAATAAGAACCTGTTTAAAAGTTGTAGGCTAAAACAGGTTCTCGGAATGGGGAATGGAGAATATGGAATGGAGAATGAGGAATAGAGAATATGGAATGGAGAATGAGGAATAGAGAATATGGAATGGAGAATGAGGAATGGAGAATGAGGAATGGAGAATGAGGAATGGAGAATGTGGAATGGAGAATGAGGAATGGAGAATGAGGAATGGAGAATGGGGAATGGGGAAGAGGGATGAGGAATGGGAAAATAAAGTGAGAAATTGAGAATGGGAAATAAATTTTTTCCACCTTTTTTTTTTTTTTTTTCAGATTTACCCTTTATAATGTGGAACAGATATTTTCAGAGGTGATAGTTGTTATCCGCGCTGTCTTTCAAAAACGTTTAGACGTCAAAATTTAACGAACGGAATAAATTGATGATAAGGAAGAAGTTTTCATGATTTCTTTAATTATTTCACCATCTAAGTTTTCAGAGAAGGGTATAATTTTGTTAAATCCATCAAATATTTTGCTCGCGCTTTTGGTATAAACGCATCACGTGACAGAATGTGCCCTAGTTTATTTACAAACCTTACGTCCACTACGATAAGTCTTCGTTTAGAATTTAATTTAAGACGAGAAAGCGTTTTGTGGTTGTTTAAGTGCTTATATTTTTCAGAGTCAATTCCATTCCCACACCCCATTCTCTGTTCTCCATTCTTCATTCTCCATTCCCCACACTCCATTTTCCATTCTTCATTCTCCATTCTTCATTCTCCATTCCCCACACTCCATTTCCCATTCTTCATTCTCCATTCTCTATTCTCCATTGGATATTTAAAGATTGAACAAGATTTTTTTTCAATGTCTTGGCTTCCTTTACTTTTTCGTTTTTGTATCTGTTTTAATTAAAAAAAAAACCCGCAACTCTCCCTCTGTGTTTTCAGTGGTAAATTTCGTGGAAAATGTAAAGGATGGGGTTGAAATGTGCCATTCAATTTCGTAAGTTCAGAGGCTTGTAGCACTGTTGATATGTCGAGTAAGAACAATTTGTTAGTTTCTAAAAATAAAAAAAGGCAACAAATTCAGAGCTGGCCGATTTAAATGCGCTCCTAACCGCCCAGAAGAATATGATAAGGTTCCTGGACATTTAAGACGCAGTCTCTTTAAGAGTGGTTCGGTGCATTTCGCTTTGAAAATCGATTTCTTCCAAACTTTACCCTTGATTTTTTTTAGTCTAAAAGAACTGAAGTAATCAAAAAACCACCTTGGTTTTCCGAAATATCGAAAAATCGCTTCAGCGCTCAACAGATAATTTTTCATAGCACCAATCGTTTTTAAAAAATGAATTTCAACCTTGAAATATCCGTTTCGTGTTTACAACCCCAAACCAAGTTTACATACAAAATTTTAGCCAAATCGGTGAACCTCCCTGTCCGGCCTGATCCGACATTTATGAACCATCGGTCTTGGAGCTTTTTGCGATTTTCGCCCCAAAAAATGATAATCCAGGAAGATTTAGGGCGGAAAATATTTGTTTTCCTTATATGCCACACTTTAGGTGAGTCGAACTCTGCAGATGGATCTCATCAAGTAGGCTGGCTGAAATCAGAATTCGCTATACAGGCTGGGGCACACCGTGTGCATATGAGCGTACGAAAACTCACAGGCACTCACAGGAAGTACTTTGACAAAAATGTTTGGAACACTTGTCTCATAGTGACACTTTGACTAAATTTCGATCAAATCTGAGCAGCTGAATTCACTTTTTCAAATATATAAATGTTCCCACTTCCTCGAAAAAGGGGAGGGGTGTTTTAAACATTTTGACAAAGATTGTAGGTGTCAATGTACTGGAGAAGAAAATGTTTTTTAGCCGGCGAAAAAAGTCCTCATCATATTTTATTCTAAGCGATGTTAACGAGATCTATCTGCACACACACACACACACACACACACACACACACACACACACACACACACAAATAAAATTAACTTTGTTTGTGAATTGAAGTTGATCTACGCTGGATTGTATTTAGACTTTTTCCATACCTGACCTGTGATCACTGCACTGAACTGGGGTCCTGTGACATTCCAATGACGTCATTGCTTGAAGGTCACGTGGTGTGTACATCGAAGACTGCCTCGAATTGTTGGTGACTTGGCTGTTTTCTGTTTGGGAAGGTTTTTTTTCTGTTTGAGAGAGAATTTACCGATTGTGACTTATTGACCAGAAGGTAAGATTTTTTAAGACATCTTCGTTAGGTTTTTACAGTGATCTGGCGGTATTCGCTCTAAATTACGAAGTTGAGTATAGTGTATAAATTGAGTAGCCATGTTGGACGATTGCAAGGGTCACGTCAACTTTTAGAAACTATCCTTTTGATTTGCAACAGATGATAACATATAACACCCATTAGAAGAAAACGTCCTGATCTCCTTTGTTTTTGAGCCTTTTAATATTTAAATCTCGACTAAAAAGTATCCCAGCCGCCGACTAATATTCTAAAAGTATGACTGCTGTAGAATTAAATTTTTGGATTTCCTAGGAAGTTTGCATAGTTTCTCGTCATTCTCATGTAATACATCATGGATGGATGATGATACCTCGCGATTTTCTGCTTCTTTTGATTTCATTAAGGCGTTTGTCAACTATGAATGTGATAACTTTCGCATATCCTTCAGGTTTTCATGTTTCAATCAACCAGATGTGAGTTGAAGTCGATGGACAGCAGCAGAGAATCCTGATTTTCAATTTGTTTTTACCTGCGTGTGTTGTCTTTGGTAAGATTTAGTTTTATCTTTTTTCGCAGTAATTAAATCATGAAAAAGAACGGAATCTATATAGACTCGCTAGACTAGCATATGACGTTACGTGAATGGCATATGATTAAACCACATAACAGATCGATAATAGTAAGTTACGAAGGTACCTTCGAATGACCTGCACACTGTCGCGCTATAAACACAGTTGAAAATAAGAAATCCTGTTTCGAGTTTACACTTGTCTATTTCAGTAAATCTAAAATCTCAGTCTGATCACGTTCATGCTCGTAAACGTTAAACTTTGCTTCCACTTAACTTTAAGTAGATCGCCCTAGATAGACACGTCTGGGCCGAACTTCCTTGTTAGACACGGTAGTCCCCAATATTTATTATTCCTTATGAGTGCATCAGTACCTCCTGAATAGTGCTGTCTGCGAATTTTTAACTAACCTATTAAAAACAAGGGAAGTGTTTTGTTGTTGTAACATATAAATAAACCTTGTGGAAGCTTAGTTCAACTGAAGCGTACATGTTAACGCATAGTATTTGTTAGTTACGTAGGTGTTCATCCTCAAAGACTTTCTAACAGTATATTACTGTAAACTGATAGTATTTCGTCTCAGGCAACTGTCATCTTTTGCAAATATATTTTGTCCACAATTGTTACCAGTGAAACAAATACAGTAATCTTATTTTTTATCTCTCTGCAACAAGGAAATAAAAAATATGTCTGGATAAGATGAATGATATTCCTTATGGAAACATATCCTAATGAAGTGGCTTGCATATTGGGTGAAATGTCATTCATTGACTGTTGTGTTTTCATGCTGTTATTGTTATGATTTATTATTTAATGTGGATGGGATAACCAGTCCAGCAGTGGCTGCTCACACCATTTCATATTTCTCTATACTGGTAACAATTATAATGACCCTTGCTATTATGCTAATCAGTGCTCAAGATGTTCCTGATCAAGATTAGAATTATTTTCAGAATTTGTCACACTATTTTTGTTTGTGTTGTCAAAGTAAAAGCTTTTACAAGGCAAAAAAGTTTTTGAAATGTGTAATAAACTAAGAGACATACAGTTGCACAGGAGAAATTTTAGTCATTTTCATTTTCAATGGTATCCTTGTAGAATGTATTATGCAATATATTTTACAGTTGGATTGTGCTTTGTAATAAGTAAACTACTTAGAAAAACGTTAAAATCACTATCTCGTAGCAATGTAACAGTACTGATCCAACTGTACATTTAAGACATGTCAAATTACTTCAATATGGCTCTGGTGTGAGGAATTTGCAACACTTTTTGCTGTTTAGTTTCAATATCGTTCATTTTATGACAATTGATGTTTTGATACCTTCCTGTAGAGTTCAGACAGAAGTGTCATGGTTGACAGTCCTACACAGCCAAATTCTGCAAGGTAAGATATTTCAAGTAGGGGAAGTTTTGTGGTGTCTGTTTAGCTCTCAACTAGTTGCATTAATTTTCTTTTTGGAGAAAATAATTTATCATAGCATTTCTTCCTGTGCTTGTAACTCTAAAGTGAGTTTGGTTTCATTGCATTGCACTCAGCTCATCAAGATTAGTCAAAGTTTGGATTGACTCTCCACTAGAGATTCAGAGCCCCCCTTAATTTTACATGATAAATATTTTGTGTATTACCATGGTAATATCTTGCAGAAGAGAGAAACTATTATTGTTTTGGAAACTGTTCTTGTGAACAGTTCTGCATTGTTTAGAGTTCTTACCTGCGAGTAATAATTGTCAGTCAGTCCGTCATGCAGAAAGTGTGATAGTCAACTAAAATCTTGCAAAGAATACAAACAGAGACAACACAAACATATTTAAATTATATTTAATTGCCAGAATGAAAACTACTTTTACTGATATTTTTGGTTTTTTTTTCTGCCCATTGGTTTGCAGTCAGCTTTCACAACTCAAGTTCACAAGTAAGTTTGAGACTTGAAAAAATGTTTTTTGTTATTAATTATTTTGTTGGTCTGTATACATCTTGCTTGATCTGTAGATCTAGTCAAGACTGAAAGCATTTCTCTCTCCCTGAACAGTTCTTGTTTTTTTTAGTTATTTTCTGTTTGATTTAAAAGCTTGCATGTATTTAATTTCAAGCATGTTGCTATTTGAACAGCAAATAAGAAATTAGGTAGTCCAAGTGTTGAAGACTTTTAACATGTGATTTCACAATAAACAAACTAACCCACTCACTGACTTAAAAAATGTAAAATGAACACAAAATTTTCATACAGCATGCTTTGTGTAGTGTTTGAATTTGTCAATCTTTTAACAGCCAGCATATGCCTTTATTTGCTGTAGAACCTTCATACCAGTAGGTCCCTTACCATTGTTGTTTTGATGTTGTTCTTTCTATATAGTCTTGAAGGCTACACTTAAGGAGCAGCCAGGATGGTTCAGTAAGTTAATAAATACTGTCATTAAACTTTATAACATAGGCAGTGAATTTGTATATACAGATTCAGTTCTTTGAGCATGCTTTATACTCTTATTATGTATGTTGGTAACTCAATTTTGTGTACCGAAGTGTAGCAGAGGCAATATCTTGTTATACAAAGTTAAATTTTGAAAGTGAAAAAAAACCTGTTTATATGCCATCTTTAAGTTCATGGAGATATGAAGCATATGGGAAGTTAAGAGAGCACTCAACAAGTTATTGTTGCTTTCAGATTTGTGATTAGTAGCTTGAAGGATCTTTGTGAGACTTCTTTGTGCTTCATGTCTCAATGAAGTTATGTTGACTGAATCAAATGTTAAAAATGAGACTGTTTCGAAACTGAAACCTCTTTGATATGTTGTTTTGATAGGCAAAGGAGATCCTTATGTGAAACTTACTGTTGATGGCAAACAACCCTCAAAGAAAACAGAAGCTGTTCGCAAAACATGGGAACCCAAGTGGGATGATGAGTTTACAGTGTGAGTAATAATACATATCAATAAACTGTTTTAGTTTAAGACTAGTTACAGTTGAAACATCATTATGATAAATGCAGAGAACAGTAAATTTTGCATTAAACCTGAATGAAATACATTTTAGCTACTTCACTACAATTAAGTGTCTATTTTATCATGATAAATAGCACCCAGAAGTCAGAATGATATAGTTGAACTGAACACTGTGAATGATTTGTGTAAAAAAATTTTATTATCACCTTTAGCCTTGTTACACCATACAGTCTTTTGGAATTGGAAGTCAATAACAAATTTGCACTGAAGAGTGATGTACCTCTAGGATCAGCAAAGATCCTATTGAATGATGTTCTACATTCAAATAATGGCAAATGTGAGTCTCTCTTTCTTTTATCATTATTTTGCATACAACAGAGAGCACTTTGATTTTTTCAGAAATCCAGAATTACTTGTTAAGACAAGTTGTGGAGAGAACAATTTGCTACTGACAAAGTGGTTGAATATTGAGAAAATAACTCATCGACCTGTCATGTAACCAGAATTGTCATGTCTATAAAACTCTTGAGTCTTAAGAATCAATAAATATCACCCTGCTCATTATTGCGGTTTTCTCTATAGAACTATGGATAGTTTGGGAGACAGGAATCATGCAGAATTGTTTAAACTACACATTTTTTTTTTAAGTAACTGAACAGAGTGAAATAGGTGATCTATTCTTTTAAATTTTTAATTGTCTTTATTGTGTTATGATCCTTACATTTCTTCCCTAACCCCTTTAACTCCCTAAGTGATCAGGAAATAATTTCTCCTTGCAATACCAATACAATATCAAGCAGACCAGTGATGAGAATAACAAAAAAATATCAGCAAGTGGATGATTTTTGTAGATCCAATATTAAGTTCTCAGAACTAACATTGCAAAAATTGTACAGCAGACAGTGAGGAGAATTACTAATGAGAATAAGGAAGTGAAGGGGCTTAGTAAACATGATTGGTATTTATAGCAGATGTTACTGTGTTGATTTATTGCACAGACAGCTAAAGGACAGGGGCAAAATTTCCATTTGCCGCTGGTATCAATTGTATCATCCTAAATATCTCCGTTGTTTTCTTGACTTTGTGGTTATAGTGAACAATCATAATTTAAAAGTGAATATTATCTTGGACAAGAATGGTACTCCTTGTCAAACTGGTGTCCTGGAAGTCATACTTGATGGTATGAGTGTGAACATGAGACATTTTCCCCGACGGGTACCTGCACAAACACCAACACCTGTAGCCAATGGGCCAGCAACTGCTCCAAGGACTGGATCACAAAATAGTACCACTCCATCCAGACAGTCACATCCGTAAGAATCAACCTTCTTCTTTGTTCATATAATGATGTTACCAGTGGTTATTTTTGTGCAATAAGTTTGTAAAGTCCATTGTCTCTTAGGAAGTACCTTATGACTAAAACAAACTTTAAATTCATGTGCTTTTTTTCAGTAGTTCTTTGCTAAATAAAGTAAGATATAACTTTTGATTTACATGTAAATTTGTGGAAAATTAGGATTGACAACATTGACAACAGAATTTGTAATATCAGAGGATATTATTTCTCATCCAACATTTTTTGAGAGTGCAAGGTTTTGTGTTACAGGAAGCCTGCTGATGGAGATGTCCAGAGAAGACATAGTAGACAACCATCAGGACGTCAGAGACCTGTTAGTACAGGAGCATTAGCAGCTACTACAGCCACAAGCACTCCTCAGAATTCATCCCCTGCAGTGAGCAGCAGAAATGGTGTTTCCACATCAACTCCTTCAGTTCCACACCAACTTCATCATGGACCATCACCACCACCACCACCACCACAAGGTAAGGCTACATCATGTGGAAGTGCACAGGAGATATGTCATGTTTTTCAGCCTCTTAGAATCAGGAAAAAATAAGAGTTCAGGGTAGAAGGGTCTTAAGTATCTGGATTACAATAACATTGGAAAAGTGAAAAAAGACCCAAACTGAGCCTTACCTCTCCACAGTGTTTTATGTGTGGTAGTGAATGATGAATCCTCAAGGGTTAACATTTGTCATGCACATTTACAGTCTTGCACAATGAACTTTGGTGAATCATTTTTGAAAAAACTCTCATTAATCAATGAGAGATTGACTTTTGACAAGTTAGAGGGAGTTTCACATCTGCTTATTTACAGCAACTAGAGGAGAACACAAGACCTTTCAATACAATGTGAATGCAAGTAATTCAAGAGCATCTTGAAGTTCATTCCTCTCTTGTGATCCTTCTGAGGGTGTCTTACTGTCTGTCAACTTGACTAAAGAGTATTTTGTTCTTATTTTAGCTGGAAGTAATTCAAATGCTGTACAGTCAAGACAGAGGCAAGGAAATGAGGATCCATTGCCTCCTGGGTAAGTTGAGGCAGATCATCCTTCTCTAAATCTCCCTGAGCTTCTGTACCATTCGTATTTTCTAGAGGAAAAAGTGTGGTCTTTAACACTTCTTTGTGTAACAAAAATCAACTTTCAGTGGTTTTGGGTGACTTAGTGATTATGTTACATGTAAATTGCAGACAAAAACTGTAGAGGCAAATAATTCTTTCTGGTCCTGCTTAAGGTTTACCCTAAGGAGTCTTAATACATCAAAAATGGAACAAAAAAAATAATTGCATTGAGGTCAGCAAACCTGTTTCCCTTGTCACCCCCTTTCCTCACCCAATGTCCTTGTCCCTTTTCTATTTTCTCAAAGATAATACCACTGGAAAAAAAACTTTTTAAGAATGAAAAGGGGAAGTTACAAGTAGTTGTAAGTTCATGATTTTAGACACAAAAACTCACACCCGTGGAGCTCAAGCATACATGGACATGAAGGAGTACAAAAATGAAACTGGTTTGAAAATATTTAACCCAAAGAAAAATTTTAAGGACAGTAAATGGATATTTTTGGTTGGTCATCTGTAAGGGGTGTTGTGTCCTCTTACAGTGTATGTTATGCTTTATGAAACATGTAACAGGTTAAGAACATAGAGGTATCTTTGACAATCTGTACCATTCTGTGTTTCAGGTGGGAGCAGCGTGTTGATCCCCACAGCAGAATATACTACGTAGATCACAATACAAGGACAACTGCTTGGGAGAGACCTCAGCCTCTGCCCTCAGGGTATGTGCCCCCTTAACACTTCAATATGAGATTACATAAAGGTCTCTGATCGCTATCTTGCAGGAAGTAACAGTTTTTCTGCAAGAATTTCATGGGCCAAGTGATATTAAACTTAATATTGAGGAATACAAAAATCAATTGGTTTATGACTGGCCAGAAGCTCAAGAGAAGATGTAACAGTAGCAGTGCATTATCCAATCACAGATCACGAAATATGAGCTCTTTCATGGCCCCCTCATTCATAAGGAAAGATAAGTGGTTAGAAGTGTATGTTTCTGAATAGTTCTTGAAAGTTATAATGTCAAAAATTGTAGCAGGGCTTACCAGCACTTGACATAGTAGCATCAATCATTAACAAGATCATTTCCCCACAATAATTCATTTGTATAGCCATTGTCTGCTTCCCAATGTAGTCTGCTAGTGAAGAACTCTTAAGTTTCCTAACAGAGCATCATGCAATTTCTTCCAGCTGGGAGCGACGAACAGACTCACGTGGAAGAACCTATTACGTTGATCACAACACAAGAACAACCACATGGCAACGACCAACTGCAGAAACTGTCAGAAACTTTGAAAATTGGCAGATGCAGAATAGAGCTTTACTGAACACAGAGAGGCAGAATTTCCAACAGAGATTTCTTCTTCCAGTATGTGTATCATAATAAATCTATACATGTGGAATGCCCAATAAATCAATTTATCTTTATTGCATGAAACCTCTGTCCCAAGTGGGCTTTTTTTTTCTGATTTCCAAAGGGGAAATAAGTTACCTGTTGTAACTTACAACTGTTCATTTGCCTAAATTGTAAAAGTTTTTGACTGTTTTATAATGCGTATTTCTTTGTACAGAACTCATAAACATTTGCTTTTGTGCAAAATCACTTTCACTTGTATCTTATAGACGACCTGTGTACCAGAAACAGATCCTCTTGGACCCCTCCCAGCTGGCTGGGGTAAGTTTAGTTTGTTGTGTCTTTAGCATGCGCTTGATAGCTATATACATGTATGGCTCTTAACTAAACATTTTGTCTTCAATCACAGAGAAGAGAGTGGAACCCAATGGACGAGTTTATTTTGTAAACCATAACACAAGAGCTACTCAATGGGAAGATCCTCGCACACAAGTGTGAGTAGTCAAATTTTATGTATATATTTATTTATTTATTTGTTAGCAATACTTATGCAGGTTGGCCTTCAGCTTCAGGTTGGTTTGAATGGGAGTCTTTACCAAGAACAGTAAATAACATTTTTGTGTACACCTTTTAAGGAAGAGATGTTGATTGTTTGTTATTTTTTTTCCTTGATCAGGATGGTTGGTTCAGACACACCACTCCCCAGTGGCTGGGAGATGAGATACACAAATGAAGGAATTCCTTACTTTGTGGACCACAACACACGTACAACAACATTCAGTGATCCTAGAACAGGTGTTGCACTCAAGTGAGTAAACACTTTATAGGTGGTTATCACAAAAGGAAGAATTATGAAACATATGCAGGTGTACCTGTGCAAATATCATAGATAGATTTTTAAATAATAATACACTGTTGAAAAGATAAAATTATTTACTATCAGTCAATGCTATCATACCCTACGTTGTTGCAAGTTTTATTCTCTCTTTTTGCACCACAAGCACATTGAATTTAAATTTAAACTTACATGTAGGTACCAGTAACTTTAAATGAAAAGCCATTTTGTAACTTTGACTACTTTGCTACTGCTAATCACATGCAAGCTAACCTATTGGAGCCCATGAAAAGCACTCTTTACTTATGTTGCATATCCTTGATATTATTATTATCACTTTAAGTTTTTGGTAATAGAGTGTCATCAGTTATGGTGGTATATCATTATTATTATTATTATTATAATTATTATTATAACTGTTATTATTGTTGTTGTTGTTATTGTTGTTTATTCTGTTACTGTATGTTATTTCTTTTCTAGTCTAAAAGGTGCAGCTGGTGGTCCAGCCTATGAAAGAAGCTTCAGATGGAAACTTGGACAGTTCAGACACCTTTGTCAGGTTGTCTTTTGTGTAGTTGATGTTGTCTTTATGTTATTAATGTTTAATTTCCCGTGTGGTAATTGCCACTCCAGTCCTTAGATAGTAGACTAGGGTGAAGTAACGAATGTCTGTCTTTTAATTGATTGAATTTTTCCCTTTTTGTAGTCAAATGCTCTTCCAAGTCACATTAAAATCACAGTAAACAGAACCAACATCTTTGAAGACTCATTTCAGCAGGTTGGTGATGTTTGAAAATTCTACTTGTAAGGTGTTGAAAAGTTATGTTTTGTTGGGAGTTCCTAACCATGCTAAAAAAATTGTTTTAATGACTGAATAAATGAATAGGAAGTTTCCAGTGGTCACTTACATTTATTTATACATTCAGATGATTACTACTCATGCTTTTAAATCTTGTGAATGATGCAAGTCTGGAAAAATCTTACAGAAACCTGCTACTAAGAAATCTATCAGCTTTCCTCACCACTCACCTCTATGTAACTATGGTGGAATAAAGCAATAATGACCTTTGATGCAACAAAATATAACACTGTAAGACAATTTGGAAGGAGATTAGCAGTCTTTCAGAAGTCACAAAGCTTTTCTCCACTCACCTCTTCATTTTCTCTTCATGTAATGATTATTACTGACTTGCTGAATATTTTGAAATGCTTCAATATTAATTTCAATTGTTTTTTTTATATCAGGTGATGCGGTACCCACCTCATGATTTGCGACGCAGGCTTTATATCATATTTAAAGGAGAAGAAGGGTTGGATTATGGTGGTGTTGCAAGGTTTGGAAATAGTACAGTTGTATAATGTATGCAGCTAAATGCAATTTAAGGGAGTTAACAACAAAGAGCATTAGTGTTCTCTAGTAGTCAGCGGTTTTTTTAATAATTATGCACATGCATCAGAATTCATTTGAGGTATTCTTGTGTGTGCTTTGAGTGTTAACTTGCAGCATTGTGAGGAGTGCCAGTTCATCACCCAGGCAGTTTTCCCCACCCATCCCCTCTCTCTTTCCACTGTTTATTCAGTGTGACAGGTGCCTGTTTCCCTTTCCTATGTGGGGGCTCATGGCTGGGTTGCTAGGATTTGCCACCCATGGGAGAAGTCTCCATCTAGGAGCTGGTTGCCAGTAGTGGAAGCTCCTGGATGTTTCAGACACTCAACCTCCACTTCGTGATGCAGTTGTTAATGTCAGTTATTATTTTAAGTTTTTAATGTATCAGGGTTTGATGGTAAATGATGCTTTCCTATTCCACAGGGAGTGGTTCTTCCTTCTTTCACATGAAGTGCTCAACCCAATGTACTGTTTGTTCGAATATGCCAACAAGAGCAACTACAGTCTTCAGATCAACCCAGGTATGCTATGTTGACATATTCAAGTACAGTAAACACCTGTATAAAAACAGCCTTTAGTTGAGTAGGATTGTAAGGGCCACATGTGAGATTGTAGTTTACTTTTTTTGTTGTTTGGCAACAGTTATGTCTCCCCAGAGGAAGTTTAGGAGCTGCTGAACAACATTATAGCTAGCCTGACTTGTAACTGTTGACAAGGAACCCAAAATGAAAAGAGCCTGTTTAGCCTGACTTTATGGAATCTGGGTTCTTGCATTTGTATGTGTGGTTGTTGACTGTGTTTTTAATGCAAAATAGAATAGTGTCATGCTGGCACTGTCAGAAAACTTAGATACATCTATAATCACAATGCAAAGGAGAAAATACAAGCTTGGACAGGATTTGAACAGCCATTAATTTGTGAAACCAACAAAAAGCAGTGATGTATTTTCAAGGCTATAGGTCTTGATTATTTCAGTCAGGTATAATTAATATTGTATCATTCATTTTTGTAGTAAATAAGTAATACTTTTTTTTTTCCAGCATCATATGTGAATCCTGATCACTTGCAGTACTTTAGGTTTATTGGCCGTTTAATAGCAATGGTAAGTTAGATGGGAGTATTGTGTTTTTTGCCAGACTTTTCTCTGTGAATGCTTCATGCAGGGTAATGACATACAGGGCACTGGACATGTAAGGTGATGCAACAGCCAGTTAATAGGAGCCTGTGACAAAAAAACCTGTCACAAACGCTTAAAATGATAAAAACTACATCCAAAGAAACAATTTTGAGAAATGTGATAACCTTGTTATGAAACTGTACTACAAGGGAATTTAGTTCCTTTGGATGTGTTTGAAAATGACCCATACAAATGGGATATGAGGTATTGACTGGAAGCATATTTCAGCAAAGTCAAAACAGTGAGATGCTCAAATGAATGTGTTTTTTTTTTGTTTTGTTTTGTTTTTTTGCAGGCTCTTTATCATGGGAAATTCATTGACCGAGGATTTACTCTTCCTTTCTACAAAAGAATGTTAAATAAAAAGCAAACCATGAAAGACTTGGAGTCTATCGATCCTGAGTTTTACAACTCCCTATTATGGATCAAGTATGTTTTTCAAGAACTGTTACTTTTTTGTTATTTACATGGAAACACACACAACAAAGCCAAGCCCCTTTGGTATTTTTGGTTGCTTTTTTCATACACTGGCCCATGCAAGCTGAGGTGACCTGGATGCTGCACAGAAAATTTGAAAATAAAAATGTCAGAGAAGTGTAAAACTTGTCTGTTTTGTTCATTGTGAGATGTAGGTAGAAATTGGCATAACCTAAATCGAACCTTTGGGGGTAGAAGCAGCATGAAGAGGCACAAAATGGATTGACAGAACCTGGAAATCAATTTGCAACACATTTTGATTTCATTCATTCATTGGCAGATGTATGAAAAACTATTTAAGTTGTGATGAAAACTTATGATTTGTGCACCAAAATTACTTCTGATGGAATAAAGGTGGCTATCTGCATTGCAGGGTTTCCCACCTATTGTATGGCACAAAACAGATGTCTTCATCAACATTTTGAAAACTTCATTTCATCATTCAAACATCATGCCATTTTGCTCTTTTGTCTTACAGGGATAATAATATTGAAGAATGTGGTCTGGACATGGAATTTGCAGTAGACATGGAGCTTCTGGGCAAAATTACTTCACATGACTTGAAACCTAATGGCTCTAACATAAAAGTCACTGAGGAAAACAAAGAGGAATACTTGTCGTAAGTGTGATCTTTTTTCACATTTATTCAGACTTTGTAAGTTGAAATTTTTTCATCCTTAAATCATCTTTACTTCTTGAAGTGGCTGAATGTGATTTCTGTTCTATGATTACCTAATACCACAAATTAATGTAGCTGCTAAAGCTACATGCTTATCTTTCTGATAGCCCCTTGTTCGGAAGAAGTAGTTGAGCCAGAGATTGATTCACCTTTCCAAGCTGCCCATATGCTTTCAGTGCACGCCACTCTGTAGACAAAGTTGAGCTAAATGCTGCCACATGCATTGTATACTTAAATAATAGGCATCATTCAAAATGTTTTATTCATGATCCCTTGTTTCTCTTTCTTAAGGCTTATGACTCAGTGGCGCTTCAATCGTGGAATTGAGGAGCAAACTAAGGCTTTCTTAGATGGATTTAATGAAGTTGTTCCTCTTTACTGGTTGCAGTACTTTGATGAAAAAGAAATGGAGGTATTTATATGACCTGATAACAGTAGAGAAGAAGTATAATAGCTAAAGAAACAGTCTGTCCTGCTTTTATTACTGGCTAATCATGAACAAGGAATGCATACATTTGTTTCAAAAAGTTAGTAGTATGTCAATTCATCTTTGAATGTGATCTTTTTTCAGTTGATGCTTTGTGGAATGCAAGAGATTGATGTTGATGACTGGCAGGCAAACTCTGTGTATCGTCATTACACCAGGAACAGCAAACAAGTGACCTGGTTCTGGCAGGTGTGTGGCTTATATTTAACTGGGCTCTCAACTTGAAAACAAGGCAGAATGTGACATGATATATATGACAATGTGTGAGAACATTCCTTGAATCTCCAGCAGGATCTGTGTTTTGCTCTTGCTCATTCATATGAAAGCACTTGATTTCACTGACTACTTGCTACAGAAACATAGTTTTCCTAGACCAAGAAAGAGACATGAATAGTATCTGTATAATTCAAATAAATTCATGAGAACAGCCACCTGGAATATTACAGATCATGTTTCACTGTTAAGGAAATAACTATCAATTGAAAGTGCTTTTGTTGAGTGACTGTTCTGTGCTGTTGGGTCTTCATAATATGATATTCAGTTAGAAGTCCTAGTTAAAAGCAAATTACAGTATGATGATGTCACATGGCATGTTTCATTTTTCAGGCTGTACGTTCCTTTGACAATGAACAAAGAACCAGATTGTTACAGTTTGTCACAGGCACATGTCGTCTCCCTGTAGGAGGTTTTGCTGAGCTCATGGGTTTGTATAGTTTCTTATTTCCATTTTCAACCATTTTTTTATTTTTACAATACCTTGGCTGTTTTCCTCAGCAAAAGTCCTCCTCACTTGGACAAGAATATTCTATAGAAAGTGGCTTTCAAATACACATAATTTTTTGTAGGGATTACTCCCCAATAACCTTGATGTACATATCTATCAAGTGAAACATTCATTTATGATTTCATAATTTAATGAAATACATTATAAAGTAATAAACATTGGATAATAGTTTTGCTGGAAAGAGTTCATGTAAACTTTTGAATGGTACTTATTTTTCTGAAAATAAGGTAAATAGCAAGGTTGAGCTATTTCTAACATGTAGTTTTGCTGAAGGCTTTGATGTATCTGTGAAAATCACAGATACACCTCAAGTCCTTTTGTGCAGTAGTGCAACTGGAGTGAACTTTGTTGTAATTCTGTGGTTTTGGTGATTTATTTTTTTTGTGCTGTGGCTGATACAGGGAGCAATGGACCACAGAAATTTTGTATAGAGAAAGTTGGCAAAGACACGTGGCTTCCAAGAAGTCATACTTGGTGAGTTTTCTTTAATAATTGAATTATTGACACCTGAGTTTCATCACTTTGAACAAAATGAATTATATCTGTATGTATGCTTGCCCATCATCCGAAGCTTCTGCTCTCTTTTTGTTCTATTGTGTTAGACTTTGCCAAATATTAAAACAAATGGATTTTCCTCTTATTATTAGAAAATAAATGGATTTTCTGATTCAGTCACAGATTATTAATTTTTTAAGTCCAAAGCACAAGTTACATGGTCTATTTTCTGAAACTTCTTTTTGTGATAATTTTCAACCATTCCTTCATATGTTATGGTAATGTCATAATTTGTTTCTCTTTTTTTGTCTTTTTTTTAGCTTTAACCGCTTGGATCTGCCACCATACAAGAGCTATGAACAATTAGTTGAAAAGTTGACTTTTGCAATCGAGGAAACTGAAGGATTTGCTCAAGAGTAATGCTAATTAAAAGCTTTGTACAACAATCATTTTGTATTCTATTGGATTATTTTGTCACTCATTCATTATAACATGCAAGTCTGGTTCAGTTTAAAATGACATGACAGGAAGAAGTTGAACTTTTCTGAAATTCATTTAGGTTTAACAATTATATCTCCGTGGTGTTAACATTAGTGGTAAGATAGAGTGATGAATTATTCAGGGAGTATCTTTTTCAACAACAAAATACTTGACTCTGATTCAAGCAGCTCTTTGTGGTTAATTAAAGATGTGAGTCACCTCACCTACTGTGCCTCACATCAGCAAAATAAAAAGGTAAGCAAAGGTCAGAAATTGGTTATTGTTGCTTTTTCGGATGTGCCTGACAGGCTGAAAGTTTCAATCACCCTCGCAATTTTTGAAGACTCTCTTTACTTAGATAGCTTATTGCTGGTTTAGAATCTGTTTGAATCAAGCATTTTGTTTTTGACACAATAAGGATTATCTGATAGGTTGTCATAATAGAATGGATCACAGGTAGCCCAAGCTCCAGTTGTGAGATGATCATCTTGCAAAATAAGAGTCATGGCAAAATTAAAAGAGTTTGTACATGGGAATATTCATGACCACTCAAATTAAAAAAAAATACAGTCAAATTCTCAATAAAAATACCTCACCTTAATTTCATGATGCAGTGCTTGTTATCTGACTGCTTACTTTGTTGAAAAGAACCCATTTTAGCAAGTTATCCATTTCTAGGGTTTCTCTTATGTAGTAAACCTAGAAATGGATAACTTGCTTAAATGGGTTCTTTTCAACATAATAAGTGCTCAGACAACAAGCAATGCACTATGAAGGTAAGATGAGGTATCTTTATTGAGAATTTGACTGTATTTTTTTATTCCTAAGAGGGGTCATAGATATTCCCATACAAACTCTTACAATTTTGCCATGACTCTTATTTCACAAGGTGATGATATTACAGCTGAAGCTTGGGCTGCCTGTGAAGGGTAAGCTTAAGTGGGACAAAGTGGAATATCACCTTTCTTACAAGCCACCATGTGTTGTGTGGTGCATTTTTCTTGTCAAATTACACATTATTTGTAGAGTGTGATAACCTGGACTGCCATTTTTAACTGGACTTAAAGGCTTTTAATATAAATACTATACTGGCCATATTTTTAACAACTGAATGCTGGATATGGCTGAAATGGTGGTGCCACTTGTGTGAATAAAAGAGATAAAAATTAAGTAAAGTGTTGTGAGGGATGAGTATTGTATCATTTATTTGAGATTGAATTACACGGACTTCAAGTGATTGAGTTACAAACAATTGTAAGTTTTGACTAAATTTAGCTCCATCAACTCTCCACAACAATATTTTGTAAAGTACTAGCATCAATTGCTGTAATAATTAATTAGTAGTATTGAAATGCTGAGCGTTGTTGAGATTTGCTTCATGTGAAGATGGATATGTTGCTATTATATGTATTACTGGTAAATCACAGGTGACCTGCCTTAAGTGGTTTAGAATACGTATGTATGGTTTAGGGGGGAAGGCTTAATTTATGAAATCCTTCCAAATGAAGATTTAAGCTTTGATTTGTTTCACAGCATGTGGCTGTTGTGTTGATGTTTGTATCACACAAAGGAAACCTTCAAGTTGAAAGGGTTTCACAAATAAAGCTCATCTTGATCTGTCATGAGGGTCCCTCTGATCTATGTTCCATTACTTTGTCCCGATGTACTTTCCAAATGCAACAAAGACTTGTAAGATGATTAAATCAGCTACTTATATTAAAGGTAAATTTCCTAAATTTGTTTTAAAATCTCTACTTCAATGTCTTCTGCTGCTTTCTTTTTAAAGAGGGTTTCCCCATCACACACTTACCCATCAACAACATTTAGACACAGTTTTGGATAACATATTAATTCTGCAATTGCTAGTAATTTATAACAGCAAAGGCAAACAAGAACATGAATGTGAATTAACATGCACCTGCCTGCATCAAGAATTGTCAACCATCCTTTCTGCGTCCTAAGGCAGTGGATTAGAGTGAGCTTCTATGTGAAGCAACTGTTGGATGAAATTTTTGCTTCAATTGATTGTGTGAACCCTAGCCCTTTAAAAAAACTTCTTAATCTGAAGAGAGCTTTCCACACATCTGATTTCAGGGTTCTTGAAGTGAGAATATTGGCCATTTAGAGAATGGTTGACTGCCAAAATATGGAATCAAAAACAATGTCTGAAATCTGTAATTTCTTTGTACTTTGGTCATTGTTCATTTCTTTGTACAATTCATAGAGACACATTACTAGGCCAGATAACCATCCACAATTCAAAATGGAGCTTTTTTTTCCTTATACCCTTATTCTGCAAAACCTACATTAACTAAGCAGTCAACTTGTATTCCAAGTCTAAGTATTGCAACACACCCAGGGAAAAATAGAAGCACATAGTGCAGCACTCAACCTTCTTAATCATCATGATCACTATATGTTATGAGATTTGTCATGTCCTTCTGTAAAATTATATCTTTATGACAGGTTTACCACTCAAAATAATACTTTTCTTGATTCAAAGAGTGTCATCCACCTGTTTTTGTTCAGGAGTAGTATCAGCACTGTGCCCATGTCCTATTTTATGTTCAACACTTGGATGATGTTCATAATCATAGTCAATATGAACAAATGCTCGTTCTACATCTGAGTAACTTTCTAACTTCCTTTGAAGTGATTCCCCAATGTCATGAGCTTCTTCAAGTGTCATGTTGGGTGGTAAGACAATATGGGCCTCTACAAGAAAATGGAAGCCAAAATGATATGCTCTTAATGTGTCGATAAACTGAATTCTTGTGTCATGATTCAAACAAACCCACAGAAGCTTTTGTAACATGGCTGGTTGAGCAGTATGGCCTGTCAGGCCACGTATCTGCTCCTTACCAGTTCTATACCACCCTATAACTATATAAAGACTTATCATGATAGCACCCAATGCATCAGCATTAGGCCATACTTTGTAGCCAATGTAACCAAATCCTAAGGCAAAAGAGTTTGAAACTATGTCATTCCTATGATCTTGAGCTAAAACATCTGTTGAGGGTTTCTTTATTTGATGACAGTAAAGAAACATAGCCCCTTTAATGAAGACAGTTGCACCAATAATTACAATTGTGGGAGTTGAAATATCAGGATCAACTGTGTGTTCAATCATCTTTGTGATAGATGTGATTATCACTTGTATTGAAGCCACAGCCATTATGACTGATAAGACTATGATGCTGATTGGCTCCAAGCGGGTTTTTCCCACAGGGTATTTGTAGTAATCAGTGCCCTTAACAGCACGACTTGTATACCACACAACAACACCTGACACCAAATCTACAATGCTGTCTACCAAGCTAGAAAGGATGGACATAGAACCAGAAAGATATGAAGCAACAGCTTTAGCAATTATTAGGGCAGTGTTAAGGAACAAACTCAATTTCACTGCAGTTGACACTTTCTCAGACTGTTTATCTTCTTCAGAGCTGCTATTGAATGATGCGTCAGAGTTATTTTCTTTGATCTGATCAAAAGTAATTTTTGTCTCTTCCATTTGCTTGTAGTATCGTCTCACATTTTTCCCAACTGATAAAAATCCTGAAGTTCTTCTTGACTCTTTAATCCAAGGTCTCAACATAAACATTTCAGAGTCTTGGGTTTGTTTTCCATCTGATATAATATCATTACTTGGTGCAATTTCTTCAAGGGTAACAAAAGGTGATGGTGAACTTGGCATGACTTTTGTGTGTGTGTCAAGCTGCCAATCAGTGTTTGAACAATGCCATTCTAAGGCTTCAGGCCTCAAAAGGGTTGGACTTTCATCTCCCATTCTTTGTCATTCACTGGAAGAAAGGTTTTCCCTTCTGCAAAATAAAACAAGTGACAAACGTAATTTTAAATCTGCAATTTCAGAGATTGAAGAAAAGTATTAGTAATTCAATGAAATATATTCTTCAAAAAGAAATGAAAAGCAATTTGAGAAGCTTGAAAACAAAACAAAAAAGGATGATAAATGATGGTAACTGAACTGTGTGGAGTGCAATTTAGAAAGGGAATCAAACTGAGTAGATTGCAATTTGGTCTGAAATCAGATGCATGATTTCAACATCAAACAAGTGCCCAGCACTTGTTTGTTCACAAGCAATTGGTTGTTGTAAAGCTCCCTAATTGCCCAGAAAAAAGATGTGATTTAGAGAAAAAAAATTGTGCCATTCGTGAATAAATCGCACCAATGAGAGACAATCAGATGAAAAGGATCACCAGTGATTTCAAAATGGGTGTAATGAATGGATAAATTATTGCTTGACAATTTTTTTTACCACTAATCACCGAGGGGTACTGGACAGTGACAGACTTACGTTGAAAGACCTGTAGATCTTTAGATACGAGGTGGTGTTTAAGTTTCAAACAGAGAGGGGATGGTAAGTCAGGCAAAAGAGTGAAAAACTTGATTATGATTTGCAAATTAAGCAAAACTCGCTTGGTTTAATTTTACACGGACGAAACTTAATTCCATCGACTGACAATGGTTACAGATACCAACACGTGAAATTGAAACCAAGAATATATTATTCTTAAGATTCAAGTTTGAAAAAAAACTTATAATGTTCTTATGTACGCCAAGGAAACGAGAGGTAGCAAAAGGAGAGCATGATGAATGAGAATCTTTTTACAACATATTTACATTCAACTACGAAATTCCTCCTGCCACATTTCTCCTGTCTTTATGATGAACATTTTCTCAATCTTACCAGCTCTTAAGGGTCGTCAATTTGTGAAAGAGTCGTCATATTCCACAGGCTGCATCTACTTTCAATTTTGCTGATGTAGCAAACCTAGTGATTTGACTGAACCCACCAAATTTCGTTTATAGACCATTACGTAAACGTGGATGGATAGTACTACTCTGGTTGTGTAACAGACATAAGGTGTCATGTCTTGCAATAGTTCATTCAATGAGAATTCACCGTGCGGGGAGGGAATAGTCTTCTTTTTCACCTTC